CACGTGGGTAGAGTACTCTCTCTTGGCCAACGTGAGAGGTCGTCTAACTATTAGGTATCGACCTTTACAATAGTAGCCCTTATCTATTGGATTATTTAGACCTTGCTCTCTGTCTGTTAATTCATTCTGAAAATTCTCATATCATGTAATTTTATCAACGTGATCGAAATCGTTATAAATATCTGTCAAAATATATTTCTTTAAATTATGTATCTCAATTATAAATTAAAGTTAAGAGTTAAAATAATATAATTGTGAATATTAACAAAATTCAATAAAATTAAATACAAAATTGCGTATCTTTATAATAATTCATTTAAATATTATTTTCCTTCGAACGTCGTATTATTTTAATTCCAAAACGAGAAATCATTAATAATAACAAGTTTGTTACTAACGGATTGAAGCCAAATTAATTCGTACATCATTTTTATTTTGCTAACTACTACCGAATAAACAATTTTCTTTTGACTTCTATTTTCGTTTATAGTCGAGTCACGAAATTTTCAAGACACAAACCCACTCAAGGGGAGGATATTCGTTTAAAATTCAGGAAAAGAATAGGAGGAAGAAGAAGAGGAGGAGGAAGAGGAAAGACGGTGTCGAAAAAGAGTACGAAAGATAGTAGTGATATCTATATATCTATATATATATATATACATATATATAAATGTTGTCAACGAGTAATACCACCGGTAAGGAAAGGAACGTCTCGAGCGAGAAAAGGGCTGCCGTTGTGTCGAAATATCCATAAAATAGTCGGACTAGAAAATTTGAAAGGAGTCGAGAGTAAGGAGGAGGAGAAAAGGAAGGGATGGAAAAGTCGACGGATTGTTTTCGTGTGGAAAACAGACGGCCAGGATTGGAAAAGAGAAAGAGAAAGAAAGAATGAAAAAGAAAGAAAGAAAGAAAGAAAGGAAGAAGTGTTCGAGCATCGTACAATTTTCATGTAAAGAAAATAAAAGAAAAGAAGAAGGGGAAGAGGATGAGAAGGAAAAATGGGCAGAGGTGTGTGTGTGTGTCTAAGTGTAGGTGTATTTGTGATAGAAAGAAAAAGAAACAAAAATAGAGGGAAAACGCGACCAAGAAGGGGGTGTGTTTCTTGGACTGGACGACGAAGCTGAAACGAAGAAGAAAAGCTTTCCAAGAAGCTTAAAGGAGATAGTCGGTAAAAGATCTTTGCCTTAGGAAAAGCACGTTTTGCGTCTAACGCTTGGCCTCGTTGTTTTATATTTTTATTTTCTTTATTTTTCTTTATTTTTCTTTATATATCTTTGTTCACCATCTCTCTCTCTTGATTCTCTTCCTTACATCTTCTTTCTTTCCTTCCTATCTTTTCCTCTCAACGACAATCTTTTCTCACTTTACAAAAGAAGCCATTTCTCAGGTTATGGAAATTCGGGTTTCGACCGAGAGTGAAAAACTTTTGTAAATCGATAAGACATACACACACGTTATTGCTAAAAGATCGTCCCTACTATGTTATATTCGTTTTATATTCAATATATCGTCATTCTCTTTTCCCATTTTATATCTACGAAAACGACTAATGCCAATTTTTACGTACCTTCAAATTTCATCGTCTTGCTTGGACACGTAAAAGGTAACGTAAAAGTATTCGAAGAGTTTTTCTTTTTGATTTTTTAATTTTATCGAAGCAAACATCAATTCAAAGATTGAAAATCATCGGAACCGTTTCGCTTTTACTTATATTATACTACCCACATTTCGTATCTAGTTTACTCGTTGAAATACTGTATAAATACGAAATTTCAATTAGAAAAACAACTTTAAAGTAAGGATACATTCATTCGATGGAAACGAATATGATTAAAATGGCAAAAGTAGTACTGTGTTATTAATTACTTCGTTTGATTACGTATAACCGATCATTATTAAATGGTCCGATCGATATTATCGATATCGTCGAAGGATCGATCGTTGTAATGCACGTTTTAAATGTCTAACGGAATGTACCTAACTGCTTTACTGTCTATATACGATGATTGATTATTAGTATGCTCTTCGTATCGCGCATAGGGCTAACTAAAATCAACGAGACGTGGTATAAAAATGACATCGTGCTCTCGATAATATCGCCATTGTACGTTTTTGGCTCACGATGACCTGACAGAAAGATAGGGAAGAAGAGAGAGAGAGAGAGAGAGAGAGAGAGAGAGAGAGAGAGAGAGAGAGAAAGAGAGAGAAGGAGAGAGAGAGAGAGAGAAAGGGCGCATGCGCTAGTGGTACCTGCGGTTACGTGTGCACAAACGCATCCACACAAACCGTCGGTATTTATACAGGACATATTTGTGTTTATGATTAGGCAAATTCTCGTGCAACGTTCGTCCAGACTAACACCGATAAGAATGCGATTACACGGAGGAATATGCATACAAGAAAATAAAGGATAGGAGAGGAAAGTCTAGACGGTTGGCAAATAAATAAATTCATTGACATAAATGTTAATAATAATATATATATATAATAGAATAAATTTGTTGAATAAGAAAAAATATATAAGATAGTATGAATAATTGAAACGAAATATACTTTTTATATCTTCTTGCCAGTAAAATATATTTCTAACGAAAAAAAAAAAACAAATGATCAATAAAAATGCACAGTACCGCAAACAATCGAATATTATCAATTTATATTTTTATATTCCACGTACTAATTCTATTTACTTTAATTCCATATATTAGCTGAAAAGAAAATTCTTGAGAAAGGGAATACCATACTACACATTCGACTTACAAAAATGTCGTATCGAGGATGATAGAGTAAAAGCCGCGGAGGTAGTCTCATCTGCGCGTTTTTCATTTCCTGGCGCGTGACGAAGAAATATCTCGCTCGAAGTTTGGCAAGGAAAATAGAAAAAAAAAAAAAAAAAAAACAAGCGACCGAAATGGAAAAAGAAAATTAAAGAAAAAGAGACAGAGACGGAGGCAGAGATAGAAGAGGGAANAAAAAAAAAAAAGGACCAAAAATGACGCTCCAATTCATTTCTAGCAATAAAGATAGAAGGATTCTTGTCTTGGAAGGAAATCATTTTCGTCTCTTTCCTTCTACCATACACCAACCCTTTCATTTTTTTTTTCTTTTTTTCTTTCTTTCCTACTTTTTATCTTTCATTCTCTTCCAACAGATGTACGCAAATGAAATACGCAAATATAAAACATTTACGCACATATATCGAACAGAAATGGAAAAGGGAAAGGGATGGTGGATGGATATATATATATATAGTTTCCGCGAAACCTTTCTGTGAGGCAAAAGTTGCAAAACCTCGAACGATTCATCTCGGTTTCTAGCACTTACTTTATCGTGCATCATTTCCGCGTCACATTTTTTAGCGGCTTGTGTTAGAAACGACGCTTTCGAAGGAGATACGCTCGTGAATTCGTCTAAAGATTTACAGAGGTTTACTACTCCCTCGCACGGTTTTCCTTTTCTCTCTCTCTCTCTCTCTCTCTCTCTCTCGATATTGTTGAAAAAAAAAGAAAAAAAATAAAGAGAGAAGAAACGAATGGACGAGGTGAACCATCGCGAAGTGCCGCGTAAAGAGTTTCTCGTTCCTAAACTTTTCTTATTTCCGGCTGACGCGAAAACGACATGACAATGCTCTTAAATTTTTCTCTCTACCTTTTTGGCGAACTGGACATACAAGGGGTACAAAATTTTCTTTGACCGATCGACGAAAATGTTCCTCCTTTTTACGTCAGTGTTTATTATTATATACGTGAAATATTTGTTTTCTTTTCCTAATACGATTAGAATTATTCGAAAGTTCACGATTAATTCGTCAAAATAATATTATATTTTCGTTATTCGTATCGTATTATTAATCACTCGTCTATTCGTCTCTTCTTCTTGTTTTTTTTTTTCTTTTTATAATATATACTTTTTATTAGAATAAAATTATATTTTAAATTATATTGATCGTGTTTAAATGAAACGCGAGAAATCGGATAATCGTTATTCACGCGTTATCGTGTAAAATAAATTTGTGGAACTAGCCAAAAAAAAACTCGATAAGTGGGACGAATTAGGAGGCATGAAAAATGTTTGTGTACGCAGAAAAAGAGTGAGAGAAAAAATGAGTTTTAAAATAATACGGTCTGTAGAGAACGCGTGAAAAGTTTATATTTCAATCGTAAATTTTATTATATATATAAATATTTCGTAATGAGTAAATATTATATATATATATATATTATATATATATATATATAAATTTAAATTGAGAAAATCTGACGCAAATATTTCTCGAATTGGAATGCTAGAAAAAGATTACGTGCTTTCTCTCTCTCTATCTCTCTTTCTCTCTTTCTCTCTTTAGTCATATTCTTAACTCTCCTTTGAATGTAACAACGAACGAGCAAAACTATTCGTTTAAAACGTATTCATCCTATGAGAGAACTACGATCAAACGCGGATATAAAGATAGAATGAGATAGAGAAAGAAGAGAAATAACTGAAGTGAGTGAGTGAGTGAGTGAGAAAGCAAAAGACGAATAGTAGGAATTTCAAAGAAGCAAACGATAAAACGAAAATCTGCTGCACTGAGTCTTACGATCATCTCTTTCGAGCAATCGTCGTTCTTGAATCTTCACCCTTTACCCTTTACCCCGGGCCCTTTGACCATCGACTTCCATCGGACAGAAGCGAACACGAGTGAGATCGACGTCCGATATTATCTAAGAGATTACGAAACTGGACCTTTCGAACTCTCTCTCTCTCTCTTTCTCTCTCTCTCTTTCTCTCTCTCTCTTTTCGTCCGATCGTGAATTCTATCTTTCTTTACCAGAGCTCGATCGTGAGAGTTCGATTCAAATCAGAGCCAGTGTTCGTCCGTGTTCTCGATCATTCTCGTAAGGGAGGATAAAAAGGACTACCTCGGCTACGAGGAATAAAGCTCTGAAAAGAGCTCAATAAAAAAAAAAAAAGAATGAAAGGAAAAAAAAAAGAATTAACGGAAAAAGAAGCCAACTTACCACTTGCTACGAAGGAGCGCTTTTGCGTTTTTGCCGCCGGTTTTTAACAATCGACTCTCACTCTCCTTCGTCCTTCGTCCTTCGTCCCTTTTTCCTCTTTTCTTTTTTCTCCTAATGTGGTCTTCCTTCGTCAGATAATTCCACCGTTGAAAAGTTTCTCCTACCACGTTCTTCTATCTGTCTCGTGATCTCTATCTCTCTCTCTCTTTCCCTCTCGTCCTCTTCCTCTTCCTCTTCCTCTTGTTTTCTTTACCCTTTTTTTCTTTACTTTTTTTACTCTTTAGAGACAAGAGCTCACGCTGCAGCACACACTGTTGTTATCGTCACTGTCACACGCGAAATGGAAAGTGAGGGATAAAAAAGATAACAACAACAACAACAACAAAAAAGAAAATGCACGCACAAAAGTAGAAAAACTAATAAAGTAATAAGTATCCTTGTTCGAAAGAAAGTAAGTGTCCTACGTCGAGTACCAGATATATATCGATTAACGTTACGAACTCTTCTTCTCTCGCACACCTCTAAAAAAAAATCCTTTCCGATTTATTTAAATTCGAGATTAAAATTCTTCGTTAAATAACTTGACAAAAATCAACACGATTTCGTCGACTCTTTTCTCTGTATATTTGTGTCTTAAGCGAGGTAAAATAAAGTAACACCTCTATAGTCTTCGATTAATAATAAATCGCACACGCGGAAACTGGTCAATACGAAATTAATCTCAACACCTTGTTACTTCTTCGTATCTCTCTCTATCTTTCACTCTTTTTTTTGCTCTCTTTCTCTCTCTCTCACTCTCTCTCTCTCTCACACACACACACTTATTCCTCGAAAAAAAAACATTTATTATTTAACGAGAGATAATGTGAGATAAATAATTAAGGAAGGTGCGACTCGTTTCTCTAAAAAACGATCTTATCGGAAAATTTCTCGATAAATCGAGAGAAATGAGCATGCGTTATTTATTATGCAATGTAATGAATGAGTCAACAAAAAAAAGCAGAGAAAGAGATAGGTGGTGGTAGTACACGATAAGAGGACACGACGAAGTGAACGAGAACTTTGAACTTTGTAACGAGAACGACAACAGAACGACACAAGCGAACCGCGCGGCACGGCTCTCGCCTGTGAACTGAACACCCGTCGCGACCTGAGGCCGGGACTCGACTGATTTCTCCCTAGGTCCCCCCTCCCACAACTAACTCCCCGCCCCACCCCGCCCCGCCATGCCACCCTACGATCCAGCGCGCCACGCGCGCGCGAGCGCTCGACCCTAGGAGGAGCACACCACAGCAACCCCTCGTCCACTGATTCCCCTTCCCTCCTGTACCACCAACTTCGTACCCGTTCCCTTGCCCCTCTTTTTTTCTATTCCCCTTCCGAACTATCATACTCTTCCTACTCCATTTTCTCATTCTATTTCTATTTCTTTCTCAAACCATCATCCCTCTCTCTCTCTCTCTCTCTTTCTCTGTTTGCCTTCTTCTTCTTCTCTCCCACCTTTACCTAACTCACACCATTTTACGATCTTTCATCCTTTTCTAGAGCTCAGCACGTATCCAACCGCCTAACACCAACCCCTCCTCCTCTACCGTACCGTACCGTACCCTGCCGCCGGTTTCTTCGACACCCATCTTCCCTTTCCTCTTCCAACTATGTGCCCTCTCTCCCTTCCTCTTCTTCTTCTTCTTCTTCTTCTTCTTGGAAATGCCACGAGACATCCCCTTTTTCCCAAGGACTTTCCGGATCTCCGATCTTCTTCCTCTCCTTTTTGCCAATTCACCGTCATCTCCATCCGCACGCGCTTCCTTCAGAAATATTTCGATGCCCGTTCAAACGATCTTCCTTTTGCACCCCGCCCCCCTCCCCACTGTCACTCTCTCTCTCTCTCTCTCTCACTGTTCATCCCACCTTTCCAACTTCTCACCCTCTCCTCGTCGAGTTTTCACCTACGTTTGGTACAGCCACATATTCACCACCATCACCACCACCACCACTACCCAGGGACTCGTTTCGTTTCTTTACGATTTGCTCTCACCGAGAAGTGAGATTCGTAGAAAACTTGATGCTAAAGAAAGAAAAAAAAAAAGGAAAAGAGAGAATCTTTTTATCATATGACGCTGTGGATCAAAGCGCTCCTTGACCCTTTATCTTCTAACCTGACTCCTTTTCCTACCATACGAATTTTCCATTCAATCCTTTTTCTATTTTTTCCTTTTTATATTTTTTTATATTCGCCAGATATTAATTATTTCACGGTCTTTCGTACTTTCATCTAACCAGTCTTATTTATAAAAAAAAAAAAAAAATAGAAAGAGGATAAAAAGGATACACCTATAGAAGATCCTTTGGAACGACAGGGAAGGAATAGAAAATGAAATTAAAGGTAAAAATGTATCTTTTTATTATCATTATATCTATACGGGGTTCATTGAATCTTAGGATAGAAACGGTACGGAGATATAGAGACAGAGAGGAGACGAGAATGAACGAGAGAGGGTCTTTCAGTGATACGGTCGAACAGAGCAAAGGGTTGCTCGCTTTAAGTGAGACCTAGTTTCTCGAGTTTTTGCGCTGATACATGTTGACCCTTTAAAGCGACGTACCGTGACACTGCTGTTCGACCTTTTCTATATGTATTATCTCCGAGGGTATATTTTTAGAATCGCGTTAAGTCTCACTTCAGGGTTTAATAAGTATTTGCCGACGAATACACGCGACGTGACCGCTTGAAATCATCATCGTCAAAGTTTTTCCCGAGTAATATTCCCCTTTAATGATGCATTCTGTGCGTATGCATCCCTCTTTTTCACATACACACACACACACACGGATATGCATACGCATACATTCTAAGTATACATATACGTGTATCGTTGAAATGATAAATATTTCCACCTTCCTAGAGATTAATTATAACGCAAGAATTACATTGGCTCGGTACTGCTCGTTATTTGCACGATAAATACCGATTGTAATTCCGAACCCTACGCTTTTACACGTTGATCGCTCGTTTCGGTTATTCGAACTTTTCAAAGATGAGAATACTCGTCGAACTCTGTCAGTCCATTATCATCGAGACTAACCCCGCCCCGTCCTCCCCAACCTCCGTTTTTCATTCGGATCGTCAAATTAAACCCCCACCCCAAATTTCTCCCCAATTTTGTCACGGACAAATTCCAATGAATTTAGTTACCGTCATACTTTATGTTTTGCGAAAGAGTCATTATCGTTGGAAATTATGACGAGGTAAACTCGGTTCAAGTACAATCGGTTGTATTTGTTCCATCCAACGACAGACGAGCGCGTCAAATGAATAATTCCGAGTGGTAACACGACGCGATCGATTCACACGGTTGAAATAAATTTTCAATCGATTCTTGTTAACTTTTGGAAAAAGAAAGAAAATTCTATCTATGGTATCTATCTATCTATACATAGAGATCTGAAAGAGAAGAATTCATCGATAAGAAAAAACGAGCTGATACTCTCGCACTCTTATCTTATACGAACGAATTTGCGATTCGAGTTCTTATATCGTACCCCGGAGGGTAAGATATTTCTTCGTAGAGGGATGCTGTATCCAACCAACCAACCAACCTACCTACCTACCAACCAGTCTCTCGAATTTCAGAGAACTTCGAAGCTGGATAGATGTTGCAATCTAGATGTAGTTATTTCAAAGAAGCCCGAAAGCTCTCTGCTAACACGTACGTGGAGAAATGGATAAACTTAATGCGCGAATCAAGTTGGTTTTAGTTACTTTCTCTCTCTCTCTCTCTCTTTCTCTCTAACACTCCCCACCCTTTTTCTCCCACTCTCTATCCATCTTTCGCTTTCTCTTTCCCCCTTCTCTTAGTTCCTACCAGATTCCCATAATTTTCACAGTGACACACCCGCATCGCGCGATTCCAGACAATTAACCGGCTTGAATATGCAAATCTACGGTTTGCTGCTTCGAGACACACCGCTGTGCTATGCGTATCCACTTATTTCGAAAGGAGTTTTCGAATCTGGAACGAGCATTCTATTCGAGTCGACTCATCGTCGATCACAGTAAGAACAAGAGAAAGAGAGATACATCCACACACATACACATAAACATAGATATATATATATACTACTCATACTATATGAATCCATGTACATGTCGATTCTCGAGTTTCTCACCTAGTCTTTCGAACAAATACAAACTACGATTTTGCTCCTGTTAAAGACAAAGTTGTACGAAATAGACGTCTTTATTTGGTTAACGGAGTCTAAATTACCTTTGAACTTTGTACTGCAATTTAGACTACGACTTTATTCTAATCCGATCGTTGTTTCTTCTACCATCGAACGATTTTATTCTCATACTGCACAAATGGCTATTCTCCGAATCAAAGATCGATACGTTTATGTATAGGTATAGGTATATTCATATGAATAAAGAATTTTATATTATTCAATTTTAATGACAACGTGACAAAGAAATTTCGACCTGTTTTTTTTTATCTTTTCTTCTTCTTCTTCTTCTTTATCTTACCTCGGATAAAACGAATTGCACTAAGCTATTTTAGATGTAAGTAAGGAAAGAGAGAAAGAGAGAGAAAGTAAACAGGAACGTGTTTGCAAGTATATGCATTTGTAACTTTACCTCAACGACACGATAAAATCTACTCAAACTCATAAACACATTCGAAACTTTCAATAAAACTCTTTAATTTCTGTCACAACGTAACACGACTACTATACATTCTTCCTTTTCCATAAGATTCTTGTCAGTTATTCAAACAATATAAGAGGAGAGATAGAAAGAGAGAGACAGAAAGATCATAAAGGAAAATAAAAGTAATATAAAAGAAAAAGTAAAATTCATATCGAATAGAAGTTTTGATATATTTGTCGTACGTTATCTCGACTAAAAATTTACGTTAATGGCAACGAAGTTACTCGAGGAGTTTTGTTAGATTTTTTTCTACGGTCCAAAAATAGGAACGTAAGCATGATCGATGGGTACATGACAGTACTCTTGGGATTCGATGGAATTAACGTAACAAATTGATAGAATGCTTTGTTCAGGTGAGTCCATTTTCACGTTTCCAAGACCCTTCGTCTCGATTAGTTTTGAAATATTAACTCATTCCACTGTTTTTCACTCTTTTAAATGAAATTTAGCAGTCATTGAAAGTCCCGGTCAACTATCATTCAAGTTTCGTGCGTTGACGTAAGTTGAAAACATTGCGATTAAGCGACAAATAATTTCGTCATGAAAATTATTGCGTTAGACGAGGAATTTTGATGTCTCGTCGTTCGTGAATGCGATGATCATAAAAACACTGATGATCTCGAAGAAGAAATATTTAATAATGTGACCGAACGTGTCGACGTAATAGAAGATAAAACCGTCCGACAAAATATTTAACGGGATAGGGAATAAACTTTTATACGCATTTCGCGCATCAAAAATCCCCTTTAAAAACGTACGTTCTCGCGTATTTTTTGTCCACGACGAAAAATTATTTCGCGAGTGCTCACGGGCAAACGAATATTTTTTCTTTTCATTCAATTTTTTTCTTTTTGTGTGTGTATAAACGTACAAAAGAAGGAGACAACAAAAATTGACATAAAATCCGTAGATATCATTAATGTTAGGCAAAGGCAGACGTTATAATATTTTTATCTCGGATACGTATCAAATATGTAATATTAAATACGCATAATTTTCGAGTACGACATTGAAAGCAGGTGAACTGTTCGTTATTAATTTTGTTCTTCCTTCTTCTTATTCTTCTTCTTCTCCTTTGCCACCGATACCTACTACCATACTTATTTGTGGCTTATGAAAATTTTAATCCTTGTAAATCATTGGTTATGGAACAAATGTAAATTACGATTATTACCAAGTTTATGACGGGGGGCCAAGAGCACCTCCGTAATCCTACTGTCATGCCGTAAAAGCGAAAGTAGGGAATTGCAATAAGTACGAGTTTTACGATCGCTCGATCACTGATTTTACGTCTGCGTAAGATTCAAGGACAAGTATAAAGACAGAAAGAGAAAGAAAAGGGATAAAAAGGGGCCACCAGCACCGGACTGATTTTGCTCGCCGTACTTCGTTCCACCCCTCACCACCATTATGTTTCAGTCGTCGTAAAAGATAAATTCCATTGAATTATTTTA